GAATCTTTAGCGACGAATGATTATTCAAGAAGTTGCATCTGTTGAAAATGTATTCAGTTTTATATTAAAGTTCACACGGCAACCAGGTGGACAATCAGACATAGTTTGACGCTACTCTGGTTTGCAGATTTAATGAATGTAACCGAAAAAATTACAATCCATAGACCCATTCGTATTCAGTTTTAGTTCTGATAATAGGAATGAAAAATATCTCCATTCTGATTGGCTGCGTGAAATGCATTAATCAGGAAACAAAAAGCATAAGCCGAAGGTAATCCAGTGCACAAAATGTTAACTCAGTGCGAAAAAACCCAAGAAACTCTTCAGCCTGGCTTTGCATGAGTAGATATAGTGACAAAATATAAAAGACAATTGAAAAAAATGTCCTTTATTCTTAGGTGGTTTGACTATCTTCTTGCACGTATGGCCCTTCACACGAAAGCGTTCATTCGTAATTCGTCCGAAGATCGTAAAAATGTGATAGATAGAATGAAGTTTATCACTGACCGCCTTCAAAGTATTGAGAGAGAGCAAGGTACAGTAAGAAAACAGCTGCAGTTGCACCTCCAAAAGATGACAGACAAAGCTGTTAATGCACTGTCCACATACCTTAAGTCTCCAAAAGTTATGCAGCAGTTTTGTTCGTGGACATTGGTTGTAGTTCCTAGGACTAAAGAAAGCTGGGAAATAACTCAGAATTACATCCAAAAGGCGCTGATGAGGCGACTTCGAGAAAAGATAGAGGAATGGGAAGAAAAGAACCATGTCTTTTCTGATGCTCGCGCCTCTTTGATTCAATACTTTCAGGAGAGGTTCCGCTACGTCGAGGGTCAACTTCGAATGCTGGAGGGCTCTGTCCTAGCTGGAGGTGTTGCCCGCTCAGCAAGTGGCCCGCTGGCATCAGATGACTTTAGCGTCGCCGAAAAAGTCATCATCAGGGTCACAAGTCCAATTTGGTTGGTCGGTGTCCCGGTACTTGGCGCCATAGCAGTAAAAGGGAAGTTGCAAAACTGGAATAAAACAAGACAATACAACAACGACAAGTGTACCTTTATGTCGAAAGCTTCCCAAGAATTTCTGAATGAAGTAGCTGAAGAACAGCATCTGAAGTTGTTTGTGATGGAGCAGCTTAGAGAAGCTCAGGTTTG